TATACTTACGATCACATACATATATATACATATATATATATATATATATATATATATATATACTTACGATCAAAATAGGTTCCCAGCGGCAGTTCAGAAGCTGAATTGTTCGTAATTCTTTAAGAGCGAAGTTGATTGGTGTACATTGACAGTGGAGGGGAAGAGGAGGAGGAGGAGCGAGAATTATTGTTGGCGATACTAAGAGTTGCCATTGTAAGCGTGTCTCGAAGCGAAAATTTGCTCAAAGGCTTGCTCGTAGCTCGTATCTAGGTTCCACTGTACCAAATAAAATGTTAAACAACACGGGTTTTTGAAGAAACCAACCACAAAAAGGAATATATATATGTATACTTACGATCACAATAGGTTCCCAGCGGCAGTTCGGAACCACAAAAAGGAGTCATTTATCAAACCACTTGTTCAACATTTTGTCCAAAATTCACTATAAGCTACTTTGAGGGACAGTAGTGTAAATTAGGGAGTACAAAGTTTTTATGTTAGATGTACTCATAGAAGGAGCATATAGTTCAGAGTCCATTTTCTCCACATTCTTGCACTGCGTTTGACAAAGCATGTTAGAAGCAGTTACCAGAGAAAGTTAGTAAGAGCGTGGCCTGGTGGTCAAAAAAACCACTCCGACTTTGCTTCCCAGGAGCTGGGATTCAAATGCAGCAGCTGCTTTAATGCGGAAGATATGCCTAGTTTGTTTCACCATTCCCAACACACACCCTTGAAAAAAAAAAAACCTCTCATTGGTAAGCACCATCTGATTCTCTGACTACAGCTCTTTGTAGACACTTTAAGTCACTCTCTAGGCAACCATGGCAACCACTTGTTAAAGCCTCACTGCCTGTTGCTAAGTTATGGTATGTACTGGACCAGAAAATCCTTCTATTGACACTCTTTACAACTCCTCCCTGCATCTCCACCATCCATGCCTCCTTGTTGACCGCAAACCAAAACAGCGAACGTATATGTTCCAACTTCCGCTGACAGCAAAAAGGTTTTCTCAATATTTTTATACATTCCTTGTATTACTAAAACAAGAAGAATGTCTAACAATGCTATTAAAGGATATCAATCACCACATTGTTTTGTTTTTTTTATTTTACAAGGGTCCCAACCATGTTTTTATAAGCTTAGGTGTTTATAAGTCGGGGTTATCATAAATATGTCACATTTAAATGGTTATGTCGATACTAAGCTTGAAGTTGAAGTAAAGTTAAAGGAAAGTTTAATAAGGTGCGAAGGATTGTTATGGGGGTTCTCATATATATGCATGTACAGTATATGTGTATGTA